AGAAGTGGTTGAATGGAGGAACAGGGTTTTGCTTTTGACAGATGGGGGAGCCAAGCCCCATGGTTTTATAGTTTATCAACCATACAGTTGTCTCCATCCCAAGAAACAACTCGGCCTCCAACAATGATTTTCAGTCCTCCCAAAACACCCTACCCACCAAATGAGACATTCCTTTTGCTGTATTTCATTGATACCGTTTGGACAGTGTCTCGTTACTTAACCAGGCTTGCTTGAACTCATTGCAATCCTTCTGCCTCAGCCTTTGTGTTCTGGAATTACAGCCATGAGCTGCTACTGGGTTCCACTTACTCCCGTCTCTAAACCCTGATTGATGGGTATGTCGAGTCAGTTTTAAGGGCCCATAGAAACCAGCTCCATAGGGAGGAACAGGGATGGGGCTGCTCTTTCCTTCCTATTTAGCTGGTCATCTTCCCTTTCCCACAACTCCACCCACACTGGCTGCTGAACAACACCAGTACCTCAAATGATGCTAAGTACAGTGATGTCAGAAGATTGCAGAAGCTATGCACGACCATTTCATGAAGACAGAGAGAGGTCTTTGTGTATCGTTGAAGATTTAGCTGTCAGGTGGGAGACTGACTTTTCCCATTTGTTTCGCTGTTTTCACTAAATTCGGGATTTGAGCTAAAGAAATAGAGCGCCGATACCATGCTTGACGAAATGCAGTCATTGGCCCAAATTGGGATAAGTTATGTGAAAATGCAATAGCTAGTGAGGGCTTTAGAGGTGCTGAGAGGTGAGGCAAAAGGGACTAGCCTGAGAAACAGCAGGATGTGTGGGACGTATCACAGTGTCATGGAAGAAGAGTTCTCAGCACAGAACACCCCATAGTTCCCTGATCCCCAGACAGGTCATGCTGCTCAAGCGATACCATGCTTGACGAAATGCAGTCATTGGCCCAAATTGGGATAAGTTATATGAAAATGCAATAGCTAGTGAGGGCTTTAGAGGTGCTGAGGGGTGAGGCAAAAGGGACTAGCCGGAGAAACAGCAGGATGTGTGGGACGTATCACAGTATCATGGAGGAAGAGTTCTCAGCACAGAACACCCCATAGTTCCCTGCTCCCCAAACAGGTCATGCTGCTCAAAACTCCCAGTGCACCATCCACCCAACTTGTGTCCCAGGTTTAATTCCAGACCCACAACAGCTTAGAGTGTTCACAGTCTAAGTTTACCACTCCAAGTTGGGTGCTGTTGCCTCTGCTGTTCACCTCCTGGCTGCATCTTGGATCTTTCTCTGGCTGTGCTGAGCCTCAAACAGAAGAATTCCAAGAGTCACCAGGACCAAGCCAGCCATCGTGATCCTGATGAGATTCTCCACTGTGTGGTCTTGGGGAAGTGAGTCTGGAGATTTTAGACATAGTGGTCATAACAGTCCCAAATCATCCCAGAATCCACAGAGGGCACCTGCCTTTCATGGACAGAGCACCTGTGTCCAGCCCCATAACTGTTCTTACTTACCTGTATTTGGGTCTGACATGTTTGGTGATGAGCTGATGATATCAACTGTTCCTAGGAATGAAAGAAGAGGAGATTATGTGGCACGCTGAAGAGATACAGGCTTTGTGCTATTTCCTTTACTTCTTATTCCCTACAAGTCACATTGTTCTTAGAGCATGAAGGTCTGGTATGAACCATTTCCCTTCCTCTCCTCACACAGGAGGACTGGGGAGGTTTAGGAGGTAAGGCTTTACTGGAGGAAGTGTGCCACTGGGGACCAGCTTTGAGAGCTCGCCTGGCTTCCTGCTTGTTCTCGCTGGGTGAAGAGGGTATCTCTGTTTCCTGCTCCAGTCACCTGCTGTGATGATGCCCCTGCCATTACGGACTCTCCCTCTGCAACCTTAAGCCAAAACAAACGTTTCCTTTCATAAAAAAGGGGTGCAGAGTGGAGGGGGCCTAAATATGATCAAAATAGATGGTATGAGATTTGGAAATTTTTCAATAAAAGCACACAAACCAAATCAAATTTAATTTAAAAGACATGAATCTGAGAAAGGGGACTTGGTGGGGTAGTGGGGATGAGAGGGAGATAAAGGAGGGCTGAGGGAGAGAGTAAGCAGAATGCATTATAAATGTGTATGGAATTGCCAAATAGCAAACTTAGTTGATTGAAAATAAAATTAAAAAATCTTTATAAATTTTAGAATCTATGTAGAGGGGCCTGGAGAGATGGTCAGTGGTTAACAGCACTGACTGCTCTTGCAGAGGACCTGGGTTCAGTTCCCAGCACACAAATCTTGGCTAACAACTGCATGTAACTGCAATTCCAGGGGCTCCAACACCCTCTTCTGACCTCCTTGGGCACTGAACACACATGATGTACTTATATACATGCAGGCAAAACACTTTTACATATAAAATAAAAACAAATAAGAATTTAGGCTCTATATAGAAAGATTAAATTATAAACAGGTAAAGATGCAGCAAGTGAACAATATTAAATAAAGGAGTAATTATAAATAGAAATACTTTAAATTTTTAAAAAAATATTTTATTTACTATTTTTATTTTGTGTGTATGAGTGTATTTCCTGCATCTGCAACAATGTCCATGGAAGTCAGAAGAGGATGTTGCATCCCCTGGAACTGGAGTTAGGATGGTTGTTAACCTCCATGTGGGTGCTGGAAGACAAACCCAGGTCCTTCGCATGAGCAGCCAGTGCTCTTAACTGCTGAGCCATCTCTCCAGTCCCAAGAGAAATATTTTAAGATATATGATGGATATAATTATAGGTGTACACAAATCTGCTTTTATCATGGTAAGTATGTGGGCAACTGCATAAGTAAGCATATGTGAAACAAGACAGTTGGAGTATGAGTGAAAAATTAAGGTAGAAAAAATACACCCTGTTCTGGTTGATGTGACTATCAGTCATGCATAAAAGATAGACTGAAAACCCCTAGTGGAACAAGAGGGAGGTTGTCCTGGATACGCTTGATGGGAAGATGGGATGCTGGCTGGTAAGGCGGGGGGGGTGTTCCTGCCAAATACCTGTCCCTGCCATTCTCACTGCAAGTGTCACTGTTTCTCAAACTCTGGTCTCTGTTTCAGGGGGACCAGAACAAGCCTCTGAACTGGAAAGGACTGGTTTGTGGCATGACCAGCACACACAGCCCAACCACAAGGGATATTGTGCTAATGAGACCAGCTTCTCTGAATGGCCCTGGAAAAATCTATCCAGAGACATGAACAGCATTCAGAACCCAGTTTGTGAAAGAATCCCCAACGATGTGCCCTTCATTTAGAACCAGACTGGCAGAACACTGCCCAGAAATGTCAACACCATCTGTGAAAGACTGCTCAGGAGTGTGACTGGCATCCCAGGGCACTGGGAGGAATGTCTAGAGAAAAAAACACTCCCCAGATGAGAGGCCGTGTCCAGATTCATTTGCCTACCCAGCTCTGATTTCTTCTTTTATCCAAAAACATGTCAGTTTAGAAGTCTTGCTCTGTTCTCTCTCTCTCTCTCCCTCCCTCCCTCCCTCCCTCTCCCCTCTCTCCTCTCTCTCCTTTCTCCTCTCTCTCATTTTCCTTTCTTGTGGTGATTATTTTTATTGTTTTTTAGATCATATTTAGACCCTTCCCTTAGATGCACTCCTATAGCCTCCTACCAGATTTCATGCATTCTGTCATGTCATATACATTAGGGCCTATCAAGCCAAATGTCTGTCCCCAAATGTCCCTCAGTGTGAGTCCATTCACTGGAACCTGGTTAGTCTAACTGGTGTGACTCCCTTGAAGAAACCCTACTCTCCCTTTCCCAGTAGTCATTGGTTGCCAATGGTTTCTCAGCTAAAGTCAGGGATTCTTACCCATTTCTCCTATTCTGTGCTGTTTTTTTTTTGTCTAGTTTGAACTTGCCTGGGTCTTGTGCATGTGCTCAGGGAACATAGCAGAGCAGGAGGCAGAACAAATACTAATGAATCTCTCAACTCTCACCAGCAAAGCTTCCTCATGCAACAGATGTTTATTAACCCATTTTCCTGGCCACAACTGGCCAAAGTGCAGAGAATAGGAGACTTTGGAGTGCTTTTCCCTGGGCAGGACTCCCATAACAAACCTCTGCCACCCAGAGCTCAGGGACCACTGTGGAAGAGGGGGTGGAAAGACTGTAAGAGCCAGGGGTGCTGGATGACCATAAGGAAACAGCATTGTCCAGACAGCTGGGGAGTCACTCATTTTCCCCTTCACGGGCTCTCCCAAACAATCCGGACTGGCCTGGCTTAGGGGGGGTGTCTGTACCTCAGCCTGCTTTCTCTTTTTGTTCCACCTTTGTCCAAGCTGGTCTCATTGTCCCCTTGGCTGAGCTGTTCCTTTTATTTCCTTTCACTTCATCTATTTGACTTACAAATATACTACTCACCTCGCATCTTTCTCTGTTCTTCTCCTTTCCACTGACACCATCCGTAAGTAATATCTCATTACACACAGCTTCCTACTTCCACTACTTCCTAAAATGGTTGGCATTGAGGGAGTACTTTTTAAAGTATTTTGATTGAAAAATTTTACAAAATGTATTTTGATCATATTCAGAAACCCTCCTCCTCTCCATCCTCACCCTCCTGACCTTCTAACTTCATGTCTTCTATTGTTACTCATCTTTTTCAAAGGCCTATTGACTCCAATATGTGTTTCCTAAATGATCTTGGGTGTGGTTCTATCCCTTGGAGTCTGGTCACCCCACCAGGCATCACACCAGGAAGGAGCACTGACTCTCCTTTCCTACCATCTGCCAAGTACTTGTTTTATAATTTTTGTAGTGTCTTAGTTTCTCCCTTTGATAGTGATTGATTTTCCAGCAGTACTCTGCCTCCAGGTAGTAGCAAAGATTGAGCCTGGTGCCATAGGCATGCAGGCCGCGAGTCTAAATACCAAGCTTTACCCCAGTCCTATGCTGAGAAATAGTATCATCCTACTACAAACAAGCACCTCATTCCACTGAAAGAATAAGTCTGGTCTTTAAAAATTCAAACGAAAACTTAGTTATGCACGTCTCAAATAAATAAAAGACTAGAAACATGAACAATCAAAGCAACATGACTCCTCTGAAAATTATTATTCCCACAGCAGTGGCTTCCAATGTGGGTGAATCAGATGAAATCCCAAAGAACTCAAAAGAATGATTATAAATAAAGAATTCAAGAGAACATGAATAAACTGTTGCATTAATTCCAAGAGAAAAACAAGCAGCTGAGTGACATGAGAAAATACAGGATATGAAAGTGGAATTCAGTAAAGAAAAATGCTGAAGAAAAACCAGACTGAAAAACTGGAAATGGCTTTAGCAAGTCGGAGAAGAAACTCAGTGGAAAACCTCACCAATAGAATAGCTCAGGTAGATTGCAGAGTATTGGCTTTTAAGACATGTAGCTGGATTCGAGCATTCAGACAACGAGAAAGTTGAATTAAAGAGAAAATACAGACTCAGATTTCTGGAAAAAGATGAAAAGACCAAGTCTATGAATTGTCGACACAAGAGAAGAAGAGTTTGGTGTTTTTTGGTTTTTGGTTTTTGGAGTTTTTTTCTGTCTTTTTGAGACAGGGACCAAAACAAAAACAGGAGGGGTTGTCTTAGTAACCAAGTCTATGAATTGTCGACACAAGAGAAGAAGAGTTTGGTGTTTTTTGTTTTTTGGTTTGGTGGGGGGGTTCTGTCTTTTTGAGACGGGGTCTCCCTGCAGCTCCAGCTGTCCTGGAACTCACTATGTGGACCAGGCTGGCCTTGAACTCACAGAGATCTGCCTGCCTCTGCCTCCCGAGTGCTGGGATTAAAGGCGTGCGCCACCATGCCCGGCTCAAGAAGAGTTTTATACCAAAAGCATGGAAAACAGCCATACCGGTTGATTTCCCAAATCTAGGGTAGATATGTCCATCCGGGTACAGGAGACTGTTGGAACACCAAAGAGACAAAACCAGAAAAGAGTCTCCCCTCTTACTGCATCTGAACACCTCACTATACCAAACAAAGGAAGTACCTGCCTCTGCCTCCCGAGTGCTGGGATTAAAGGCGTGCGCCACCACGACCGGCTCAAGAAGAGTTTTATACCAAAGGCATGGAAAACACCCATACCGGTTGATTTCCCAAATCTAGGGTAGATATGTCCATCCAGGTACAGGAGACTGTTGTAACACCAAACAGACAAAACCAGAAAAGAGCCTCCCCACCTCTTACTACATTTGAACACCTCAATATACCAAACAAAGGAAGTGTATTGAAAACTCAGAAGTTTCTCAAGAGAAACTTCAAAATAGGAGGACTTGAAACACCTTATGACTGCCAATCCAGACTACTACATTCAGCAAACCTGTGTCATAACTGAAGGGTAAATACAAACTCTCCAAAATAAAAACAAAAGAAGGGATTTATCTATGACTACTAAACTGCTCTACAGAACATGCTAGAAGGAATCCTCAGACTGAAGATAAAGACAAACACATTCTCAAGGCTACAGGAAAGAGTAGGTCCTGTTAAAATGGTAGTTAAAGAACAGAAAGAAATTAACTCACAATGTAAGACATGAAACTTTGTAACTATTAGGTGGAAAAATATGGAAAACACTTCAAGATACAGGCAAAAGCAGGGGTTTCTTATTGACTCAGGAAATAATACCAACAATTAACAAATATTAGTTTTGAAATTAAAAAGCTTTTGCACAGTTAAGGACATAATTAAGCTAAGAGGCAGTATACATAATGGGAGAAAATCTTTGCTAGCTGTATATCTGACAGAGGATTAGTATCTACAATATCAAAGAACTCTTAAAACCTAAATAACAACAAATAAAACAATCCATTCAATAAATAGACTAATGGGATGAGCAGACAGCTCTGAAATGATGAGACCCAAATGATCACTAAATGTATGAAAAGAAGATCTTGAGATCTACATAATGACAAAACCAGTTGACATGTCAAGGTGGATAGGGGACTGTTACAGGGTCCGACCTCCAGATGAAGAGCTACAGGCAATCAGTGGATGACAAGTAAGGGAGAGTCAGTTTTCTCCAGGAACCAGCTCCCTGAGAGGTTATCTAACCCCAAATGGACAACCATAAGCACAGGTACATGTAGGCACCACTAAATGGACTTGGTGAATTATATATATGTGTGTGTTTATAAATGTATATTTATGTGTGCTTCAGTAATAAAGAAGAAGACAGGAAATTGAGGGGGGATGGGGGGTATGTGAGGAACTAGTGGGGGACTGGGAGGGATAGAAGTACTCATACATGAAATCCTCAAAAAATTTAAAATCTTAAACTTTACTAGCCATTGGTGAAATGCAAATTAAAACTGCACTGATAGTCCATCTCCTGACAGCCAGAAAGGCAGCCATTAGGAAATCAAGTAATAACAAATGCTGCCAAGGATGTGAGATGAAGGAAACCATTATACACCACTAGCAGACATGTAAATCTGCCCAGCCACTATTGTGATCCACCTGGAACGTCTTTGAAGAACTACAAATGCATATGACCCAGGTGTACTACTACTGTGTATCTACCTGAAGGACTCTTAAGTCATCATGCCACAGAGATACTTACACATCCGTGTTTATTGTACATGACTCACAATAAGTAGCTATGGAAGGAAGATATACACCAACAGAGGACTGCATAAAGAAAATGTGGTTTATATGCACATGACGGAATTTTTCAACCATGTAGAACCAAGTAATGTTATTTTCAGGAAAATGGATGCAACAAGAGGTTATCGTGTTCATGAAATAGCTCAGACATGCAAAGGCAAATATGCCCTATCTTTTCTCATTTGTGCATCCTAGATTTTATATAAATACATGAAAAGTTGTGTGTAGCTATGACGTGAAAGTAGAACTGTCTAGAGGAACAAAGGGACTAGGGGGAGGATGAGGATGTGTGAGAAAGAGGGTATGGAGGTAGACTGAATGTGTTCAGAGTACACCGTAAACAGGATAAAAATGTCCCTATGAAACCCAGTACCTTGTGCCAGTGTTACATGCCTAACAAAGAAATCTTATTTAAACAAGCAAACTAAACACAACCCAAAACCGGTTTTGTCAGACCAGCGAAATAACTTAGTGGGCAGAAGCGCTTGCTGCGAGAATTTAATGGATGACCCAAGTTCAGATCCGCAGAACCCACATAAATGCCAGAGTGGAGCAAGTGCTTGTAATCCCCATGCTCGCAAAGACCACCGGAGACAGGAAGTGGAAACAGGACAGTCATCAGATTCTCCTTAGGCCATCTAGCCAGAAGGTTGTTAATCCCCATGCTCGCAAAGACCACCGGAGACAGGAAGTGGAAACAGGACAATCATCAGATTCTCCTTAGGCCATCTAGCCAGAAGGTTGTT